TTTTGCTGCAAAACTGCTGTCTAACACATCAAGTCTTCAGAAGGGATGCATTGGTAATTTTGGGTAAAAGGAGAAGAAATAGGATAAAGTATCTGTCCATAAGCATTAAGAGCACTTGGCTACTCTCAGTATCAGGACAGGTTTGGATAATGGCATGTGTTAGAGCCAGGTTGTTTGCAAACAGGACGTATAAAGCAAGACAGGGTCTGCCAGCACTTTATGTACAAGAACATGCTTTTAGAGATTTATACACCTAGATAGAGTAAGCAAAGTGTAAACATTACTCTATTCTTTGACTTACTGCTTTTCTCTATGCAGAGAGATTATAAAGTAGTATTTTAAGACAAATAACTTCAGAGTTACATTTCTTTCCCCCAAAAAATCCACAATGCAGAATTTACTGCAGCCAAGGATATATTTCTACATACTTAATGTTCTAAATTTCTTCTGATAACGGAAATTTTCATGAGATAGGCTAACAAATGGGAAGTCATAGATGTGTAACATAGTGTGTAACGTGGTTATTTTGTTCCAGAAGCCTTTTGAACATATGCCACGTGGTATTTTGATATAGAATAAGAGGTTACATAAACGTAACACCTTTTGTCTCAAAGTAGATAAAATACGTTTGTTTCCCCTTCCTGTAGAGATGGAGTGCCGTGGACTTTACAGCAGGCTTCAGAATAACCCATATTGTTCATTTACACTTTTGTTTCCTTATACTGCCTGTGTTTGACATAACACAGCCCAAAAGAACTGGAGGAAAACGTAAGTGGAAGTCATGGGCTCAAAAGTCTCATACAAACTAAATCACATCTTACTCAGTTTACCCACTTGAGGAGAATAGCATGTGTTCATTTGATGTTCACTGAGCTGAGTTCTTCTAAGTAAACAAGGCGTTCTTATCGGAATACTGTGTACAGCTAATCATTATGCAACGACAGACTGTAGTACTTAACCTTTGAATAATATGCTTGTGTCAAGCAATGGTGAACCAACTATGATATACACATAATATTTCAGCTATTCTGGATGTAATTTACTCTCTTTTCATGTAAATTTAACACCTGCTACTCCATAACAGAAGTGCTTTTATTGTGCATGTTGCATATACGTGTGTTGTACAAGCCCTGTTTAACCTTGTGTGTGTGATGGCAGAACAGTACATCCCGTTTCTGTCAGTTGTTAACCGATGTACCTGTGACGCTGAGTAATACACAACGCTGCTCCAGAGCTTTCTGAGACAAGCGATCCTATATTGCTCTTTTTATTCTCGTTTTCTTTTTCTTGAAGAATCAATAATTTTGACAAGAAGCCAGGGCAAAATCACATTTCAGTCGATCCAGATAGAAGAGAGTTTATTCCAGGTCAAAATAAAAGACTACAAAACCAGGAAAAATAAGTGTTGCAATAAGCTTGTTTGGCATAGGGGGTTTTTTCCCTTCACAGAACAGGATGAATGATCTGAAGCTAATACTGATGTAAGATCCATGGGACTAAAACCTAGTCAAATGAGCTATCGCATATGCTGCCTCTAAAGAAGGTTACTGTAATAAATCTTCAAATACCTAAGTACACCAAATTAAATTCTTAGCAGTATATTCAGCAGCAAATAGAAGATGTTGATTCAGAGATCCTGAAGGAGCACAAAGGCCGTGCATCCACCTCAGAGGATCCCAAAAACACGATTCCCTAGGAAACCTGAGACAGACACAGAAATGCATACCAATTTATAAGTAGAAATAAGGTGTGAATCACCAGTAAGGGAGTGTCCCGGCAAATCACCCTACTTTCCCAAAGAATATTCAGTAAGTTTGTGATCAGGCTTTTGCTCTGTTTTGTACTTCCAATTTTCAAACCCAGACTGTTGCTCTTTGGGAATGTATTTATTGTCGCTGTTCTCCAAGTAACTTAAATGGCTAGTATACTAATACATATGCCAAGCTCAGGCAGTTGTACTGGCTGTTTACATGATGTAAAGAAAGTCAGGTATAAAATTGTTATTTACCTCGTCAGCAGATAAAGGACAAACTGCTTTTTCTACTGCTGTCTTCTACTGCTGAGGCTTCCTGTACGGGGCTCTTGCAAGCCTTGGCCAAACAGCTGTAGAACCAGGTTCATGCACTTCCTCCCTTGATGGGTGAAGGATTTACTCCCTTGCCAAATAAACAGATTAATAAAATAGACCTTGCTGTTTAGGGAACTGTAAGCAGAAAAGTTGATGCATGGACTTGCAATAGCAATTTATTGGAGAGGGGTACAATTTTTGTACAAGCATACTTGCTTGCACATCTACCCAAAAGTGCTCTTTGAAGAGGTCATAGTTTTTATTCCGCGTAATTTCTGATTTCCGGTGATGCTTGGGCAGCTGCTTAGAGAGAGCTTGCAGAGTTCATGGCCGTTTTGAACACACGTATCACAAAACTCTAGATGTCCCCCAGATAACACTGAGGTTGAAAAGGGAGAGGCCCCATGAGTCAGACTGGGTTTTCTCAGCTCACAAGTTTGGATTTTTGTGCCTCAGATTCAGCTGTATTCTAATTGACCCCTTTTTTTTGGACTGACCCCAGCCATCTTCTGAAGAGCCTATAATTATGTCAGTTGAGACCTAAAGTATTGACAGAAGCTGCTGCAAAATCAGAAATTAAAAAGGAGGAATCTCACCATCGGTGTGGGGCAACTGAGGACTCTACTGCTCCCAAAAGGGACGATTCCCCACAGCCCCGTGCTGCTAATTACCACTGCCTCTTGTCGGACCTAGTAATCACGCAGCCATACCATGCATCAGCATCATTTGTTAGCCTGAGTTAGGGAAGACGTACAGAAAAGAACTGTAGGTTGGGTTTTTTAATGCATCGGCAAACTCGCTGCACGGCCCCAAGATCACTAGCTTTGGTTGCGTGGGTGGAAACGTCATGAATGCATGGCCAAGGGCAGATCACCAGCGTGATCGTAAGTCAGTTTACACCAAGCCTGAAGCCATACCCCAAGTATTTACTTAACAGATCATTTTAAAGATACCTCAGGTGTGTCTATAGGAGTTCCAGTCACTACACCACAGGCATATTGTCTAACAAGAACATGAAGGAGCATGAGATTTGCAACAGAAAGATGCAGGACGGGACTCAATGAGATTGAGAAATGGGAAGTCTCGGGTAGGTGGCTGGAATCAAAGGCTTTGGCAGGAGTTCTGATTACTGTGCACTGGGACGGGAATGTGATGACAAGCCAAGAGCTTGGGGAAGAGGGAGGGAGCTGAAGAAAAACATTCAGCTGCCTCCGACGATGGGCAGGCAGCCAAAAGCATGCAAACCATTGGATATGTGCTTGGCACCAGCTCTCCGGGGAGAAAGAGTGGACAAAACAGAGAGAAAGAAGGAAAGAAAACATTAGCAAGGAAACCGAAAGCAAGGGAGAGGTCGCTGTATCTCGGCTCAGCTTTACTCTACAAAGGTCATCACTAGCAGGCATAGTCCATGCCGGCTCTAGGCAGTCGCACAGTCTGATCACAGTCACACAGCTTCAACGTTCCACATCCTGGAACTCTAAGTCACAATTTTTATTTGATTGTAATTGCAGACCCTTGGGCACTTTCTAACAGCAACTAGGAAACTTGCTAAATCCTCTTCTTTTCCCAGGAGTATAAAAACAAACAGGCAGAAAAGCAAAAAAAACCAAAAAACAACATTGACAGAGGATATTACCCACCCTATCATAAAAAGATCTGCTTCCCTTTTTCTAAAAAGAGTGTGTAAAAAGCAGATGAACTCTTGCAAAACTCCTTGAAGGGCTGAGTAAATACTGAAACATTCTGTTGGCATAGGAATAAGTAATTTTCACTAATGAATTTTGGTTTGCCTTGAAACTTAGCCAAAGTTTCCCCTCTGCTGGATCTGTCCTATTTTTACAATACCTGTATTTGGATGGCAACTGGGAGCAAGCTTACTAGCTACCACAAAAATCTAGTTCAGAAGAGCGAGCCTTATCCCAAATGCTTTCTTATCTTGAAACGTATCAAGATATCACTTGCGTGATGTTCCCGCTTCTGTGAATATTTGGGAAAACCACTCGCCGCACCACACCCATAAGAGTGAGAGCAAAATGGCAAGTCACCGTATCATGTTTGGAAGGGGCCGAAGCGGAGGGCATTTGGGGAAGTTTGTAGAAAGAAGAATCTGTAGTAGAAGAACAGTACGCATTTTTAGTACAGATGAAACCGATAGAGATGACCTGAATCTGCAGGAGGGCTTTTGAAAAGAGGAGCTCTGCCAGGGGGATTGAACAGCTAGGTTTAACACCAAGAGAACTCGTCGGCGATGTGCTGACACAGTTGCTTTTGCGGTGAGAGGATACGAATGCCTTGGGCACGTTTCAGCAACAGGAGGAGCCGAGTGCCGATCTGGCTGTGAAGGGCAGATGACTTTGACTCCCCAGACGAGATCTTTCAGGGTTTATGGCCGTGCCGAAGCGCGACGTGAGGGGTGTTGGCAGGGTGCTGCGGGAGGGCGCGGTGGGGCGGCGGGCCGGGGCCGGGGGAGCAGCGTGGGGC